GGGTTACGAAATACGTGATCGTGATCAACCATTCAAATAGTTTCACATTATCTAGATCAATTATTTTCAACCGGTATGTCGCAATACACTGGTATGCCGCCGTACGTTGGTGTGCTGTGGTACAGTGGAGTGCCGCGAGAGGATCAGAAGTGTGCCGCGAAAAGGTTTAAAATCATTAACCAAATTATTTTGGAAATCAGTTCAAAGCACAATAAGTGCATATATCAAAGTTAAAACACCTTTAAACTGATTATACAAATATATCGTTGTCATAACAAATAAAAAATGTAAATGGCGCATTCACTCGTATCCGAGGATGCCCGTCTTCTAGGGCAGCTACTATTGCAGACGCCTGCTCAATTACATTTGTAGACATTTGCTCAAGTACATTCAAGTTCAACACCCACGGAGCTGCCTGTGGTTTCTACTGCAACTATGCTGAGCGGACATTAGTTACAGTCTCTGGGAGAGTTCGAGATATCTAGCGTGATCAACAGTCTGACGGCCAGCACACTCAAACCCTCGGTCACGATGACTTGTGACTTTGTGCTAGCACAACCTTCGACGGCTCCTAAGGGTTCCATCTACCCAATTTCACTAACAAAGCTTGGATCAACCCGTGTTATGGTTTCCAGGCACTTTCCAAAGGTGACGCATGCTGGGGTCGCCACCTCCAAACCGATAGCATCAAGAAGTTACCTTCCTGATAAATCAACCATGGTAAGATTTATGACAAATAAATATATGAATAATATATAAAAAGGGTGGAGGTGTGCGAAATAAGGTCACGTGATACGTCCATAAATGAAGCTATTTGACAAGGGCTTGCCGATGGACACTGATACGGTATAAGAGGATGTCTGTCCAAAATTCGACATTGCAAAGAAGATATAAAAAACGCTAAGCTCAGATATTTCATTAAATGTTAAATTATAAAACGGAAAAATAAATATAGTGTTTTTTAAAGAATTTATTTTTATTACAAATTATAATAAATTGTTTTGTTTTGTTAATAAATAAATCATAAAAATTACACTCTTTTCTTAACTTTTTTGATCATAATTTAAATGTCCCACAGAAGTCTAACTATAGGATCAAGATATTTATCAAGATAAAAAAAAAATCGTTGAAAAACATTGATTGAGATTAATAGTGAAATGGTTGTAATATGAGAATATTTAGATGCTACGTGAAAAGTTTCTGTTTTTGAAGCATATATGTTTTTATGCTTACAATTCTTTTAAAATTTATAAGGTAAGTAATTAAAAAAAATGGCATGTCACTTCGGCCACAGCTTTCTTTTTTAATATCGACTGCGAATTGCTATTTTAACGTGTTGAAGCTGTGACCTTATAATCCAAAGTTGAGTGTACAGGTTTAACATGGATGCCGGTCTATCAATGCTGAAGAGACGGGAAGGACTTTCTTAAGGCCAGGTAATTTTCCGTTAATGCCCCGCCAAGAATACAATCACTTCTGAATTTCTGACGTGGATACTGAATATGTTCTTTCTTCTTCTTATGTTTGGACGACTCAGGTCAAGCCAAGTTAAGTTCATCGCCATTTGTCTACCAAATAATTTCTCTTAATGACCGGCGTTATTAAAAGCAGAAAAAGAGTACAAAAGTGTCTCTCTCGTTTTCATTTTTTATTTAGCCACATGTAGCCTTAGAGATAAGACATCTCGTTTCCCTTCTGAATGACCCTAAGGAATTCAGTGAACCACATGTCGCATTAAACGCAAGACATCATAGTACACAGCATACTAATAATATAAGCTCACTAAATTGACTATACACAAGCATACCTAATAATTCTTACAAACCAACAAAGAACCTTTCTCAAATATAAGTTTCTCTCAAACTTTCATATGAAATATACTTACATGTATGTACGAATAACGACATCTATACATGTACATCTTCATTCATCTCTTGTATTCTTTCTATTTAGCTTGGCAATAAAATATGTTGTAAAATGTACATAATTATTTGTAAATTGATTCTTATACTCTAATGTTTGAGGAAGCTTCAATGTGTCGACTATCAACTACTGTTATATCAATATAGCCCTTGAACAATTGGTATTTCACAATTGGTTTTCTGTTTTTCCATTTCCGTTTTTATGTACATATCTTTTAACAATTTCCCACTCTTCCGCTTACCCCAATAACAGTTCCATAAACGTAAATATAGCAGCTAGAAGTTCCCATGGCTAATTTTCATATTCACAGGCAGTAATTTACAAAGATTCTAAAAGGGTTTTGATGACGGGGGATTAACAGAGAATTGACCAAAGTCATCTTAAGTAAAATAATTCTTGTCAATCGTCTTATATGGATTAATGACAAACGTATACTTAAAAACTGTATCAAACCTTCCGGAACATTTAATTTAAATATACACTTAGGCTAATGGCAAGGTTGTCAATGAATCGTGCAAAGAGAATATTTTCACTCATATGAATACAATAATTTTATAGTGGGATGATGCTTTTATTAACAGAAACGTACCATTTATGGTGATGACGTTTTCATTTACAGAGATGTACAATTTTATGGGGATGACTATTCCATTCAAAGGGACGTACCAATTAATGGCGATGGCCGTTTCATTCACAGGCGCGTACCATTTTATGCCGATGTCCTTTTCATTCAATGGGATGTACCATTTTACGGCGAATGTCCTTTCATTCAATGGAACATACCATTTTATGTCTATACCCTTTTCTTTCATTTTATGGGGATGGGCCTTTCATTCACATATATATTTACCAAGCCTCCCCACCAAGGCTGGGTGTGACACAAGGTCGTTTTAACGTGGAGAATACCATACACATACACATGCATGTGGGCCAAGGACGGAAATTGATTTTTGCCCAGCCTGCACGACTACTGTCACGCTGGAATCGGTATTACACCGATCCAACCTGTTTAGTGCGACGAGGAAGGTACTGCCACAGGGTTGGAATCACCGGGGCTGAGCAATTTCTCCCATTTAAAATGAGGAGAATGACAGCTTCACTTACAGCACAGGGAGGTTAACCATGCCTTGGTAAACAGTCATTGGCAATTGTTAACTCCTGTGCCTGTCATGGTACGTTCTTTCATTCACAAGACATTTATGGCGAGGGTCCTTTTATTCCATGGGACGTACCATTTTATACCGATACTCTTTTCGTTCCCAGGGATGTACCATTTGATGGGGATGGGGATGGCCCTTTCATTCAATAGGATATACCATTTTATGGCAAGGGTCTTTTCATTCACATGGATGTACTATTTTATAGTGATGGCCTTTTCATTTTCAAAACATGCCATTTTATAGCAATGGATCTATCTTTCACATGGATTTGCCATTTTATAGTGTTTTGTTTCAGGTTTTGAGAAAACATAAATACACTGTCGCCCATTTACAAGGACACTACACTGAAACGTGTATCTGACATAAGGAAAATCTAGACATCCCTTGTTCAATTTAAGTAGAATATTCTGTAACCATGGAAACGTGATTTTAGCTGTGTCTTTAAAACCCGGTAATTTTTAAAAGTTACTCCAAAATTCGCTTGAAGATGAAATGGAACTAATGCTTTTAATTTAATTGCAAAATTAAATTCGGGGTTTTAGCTTCTATTTTTTGAAACATGGTTGGAACTGTGTAGCGAAAAAAAAACCATATTTTAAATCAATTAATTTATAATATTAATGCTCTGTAAATTTACATTGAGCACTATTTTGTAAAAATAAAAATATCTATAAGAACACCGGATTTTATATCTTACTGTTCTTTTCTTATATATATATATATATATATATATATATATATATATATATATATATATATATATATTCTAGAATGTTAATATCTATCTATTCTAGACAGTTTATATCTATCTATCTATTCTAGTTTAATATCTATCTAACTATCCTAGACAGTTAATATTTATTTATTCTAGTCTGTTACTATCTCTTCTATTCTATTTCACTCTGTTCCTATTTATCTATCTATCTAATCTAAATTGTTAATATTTATATATATTCTAGACTGTTAATATCTATCTTGCTGTGTATCTATTCTAGTTTGTTACTATCTGTCTATCTATTCTATTCTATTCTTTTTTACTCTATTTCTATTTATCTATCTATTAATCTATTCTAGTCTGTTTATTGTATTTTTTGTTTGAAGCGTAAATCGGTCTTTGATATGTTGTTTGATTAACCAACCTAACTAATCAGAATTTAGTAACGTTGTTCTTTCTAATGTTGACCAATTCGCTACTTGTAGACCAATATGATTTACATACCGATGCGTACGGATACCTATTGCAGTTTATGTACATATTTATACTTAGGAACATATGGATGGCTCTGTTTGTGTTTAGGTAGATTTCTAAAAAAAATGTACGTGTAAAAACAAAATTATCAAAATCGTTAATGATCCAAAATCTAGTTAAAATTTTATGAAGAAAAGATTTCATCGGTAAAACCTTTGCTTGTCAAAAAATTATAAAACATGGAAGATAAAAATAATTCCACAATATGTGGAGATGGGCTATCAATATGTTTCAATAATATACTGTATATCGCCAGTTCGAAATAGCTTCATAAAAATATGAGAAAATTAAAAGTACTTCAATTTCATGAGAAACTAAATAAATAATATTGTAAAATTAAGAATAGTAATGAGCGGGATAGAAAAGAAGAAAATTGCTAAGAGCCACAAGAGATAGAATGTCGTGGAGAGCCATGATCACCTATGTCCTCATGAGACGCGTCACATAGAAAAAGAATGAGAAGAACGAGAAGATAAAACGGAAATGTTTAAAATAATAAATTATTTATATTTAAAATATTGCTTTATCAAAATAAAGTTATTTCGAATTGTATTGTATCGAAGATAATAGAAACAGTGAAATGAAATTATACTTTTTTGGTTAGTAAACAAATAAAATCATATTTTTGGAGAATTACATTTTGATAAAATAACAGAATTAAAAAAAAACTACAAATAACTTATACGAGCAGGAGATTTAAACAGAGGATTTGTGTAACTCTGGTAAATGGACGCTTCCTCACTAGAATCTCTACGAACCATAGCTTGATTCTGATGGAGCATCCACGAGTTTCGATGTGTCAATTCATTATCAACGGTAAAGGCATCTGTTCCCCTTTCGGAAATATAAGGTGTGCAGTCTATGCTTCCAACCGTCAGCATTTGAGTTGAATGACAATTTGAGGCACTTAAACCCGAATCTCGACTGTTGGCGTTACGTTGACCAATTTGACGAAATTGTTGGATCGTTCCTAAGAAGGTTTTCCGACGACATTTTGGGGAGTGTAGCTTACCAGACTCCTCTAATGTGTCTTCATTACCAAATGGTGGATAACACTTGCTGGTCATGTAGAAACGTGAACCGAGTAATCGTGAACAACGACGAGATCCTGGTCTTCCTCTTTGTAAACGCAAATTTTCGTTGAAAGAACTGAGAGGTTGCTCTTCGATTTCTGAAGACTCATCAAATTTGTTACCAATCAACTATAATATAAAAAAATAAGGAAAATATCGGATATTTTTTCTTTTACATTAAATTTTACGAAGAATATAAATTCCGTTAATGACCTTTTTTTTTAAAAATTTTATAAATTGATCTAAACAACTCAAAGCTTACGTGACAAGATCAAATAAATTTGAACGATATGATTAATTAATTTGTTTTTTTTTTTTTAACGGCTTATCAAACTTTTGCATGTTATTTAAACCCAGAAAATATTTTTAGATTTTAAAATTCTTTTGGAAGTAATAATGATTTACTGATACAAGCCCTACTAATTAACCCATAGCTGATGGAAAATATGCGGAATCATACCTTTCCAAATGGTATTTACGCGTAAATAGATTGGACTGGAATTGGAACTCTGACTCTCGGATTTCGAATTCCGAGTCGTTATCAATTGCACCACCTTCACATCCAAGCTTACAGCACCTGCTATTTCCATCTAGGTACTGACCAGGCTCGACATTGACTTCGGTGATCGTACGAGAACCGGTGTTTTAACGTGATATGGCCATAAGTCACTTGAACGATATGAACTGAGATCAAATGAAATTACGTTTCAATTGAACTCTCTATTTGCATTTTCGCGCATGCGTGCAAAACATAGAAATGAACAATGAACGAGAAAGGAGGGGAAAAACGAACAAATGTAAGAACAACTTGCCTAGATTCAAAACAAGTTCCATCGTTTTTTTTTTAAATGTCAATGCGATGCAGGAAAAATCAACTTCTTGAGAGAAGAATTTCCCAGCATGTTCCGGCGTTCATTAGAAGAGATCAGCTTTGAAATAATTCGCATAAGTCTGTTGTGTCATCCGAACCTGCAATCGCAGAGCACCTCATTGAAAACCGTCAGTATGCCAAGGTATGCCGTGAGAACATGTTCTTCGTTTTATGCAAATCTCAATCTGAGTTCCATCTTAAAGCCCTTGAGACAATTTTCATTCAGTTCAATCAGCCTTCCCTATGTAAACAAAAGGAATGGCTGCTAGGACTTACTGCTTGTAGATATTTCGTCTTTTAGTATATTACTAATAACGGTGTATTAGTTTTTTTCCTTTATCTTTTTAATTGGTACGTACATTTAATATTTTATTCCTCGATCGAGTTCTGATGAATGAGGAGCGACAATCGGAAAACTCTTTTTTTAATTCTTTTTAATCTATCTTTCTGGCCTTTTCGTGTCATTTTTCTCTCTCTTGTTTTAACTACATATTTTAAATATATCTATGTTATATACCATTATTAAGAAAGAATAGAACATAGCAGTTCGTATGCAAGTTTTGTATATACAAGGTGTATCAAAAAATACTTTTACAAATTTTGAGGGCGGTTTCCTCACACCAAAACAAGGAATGCTTCGTTTTTGAGGTATGTCTAAAAAAGTTTACACTGGCTGATATCTACCGTGAAAAATAGATAGATAGGGGAGGCTCGGTTCCATGACCTGCACGTTCCCCCGACCTCAGTCCTCTGCGTTTTTATCTGTGGAACTACCTAAAATAATTGGTTCGTGCAGCAAATATTAATAATGCTTCATCATCATGTCATGGGGGCCTGCGAAAAAATTTTGAACATATGTTTATATGAACACGCTACCTTGTTTTGGTTTTAGGTACACGGCCTAAAGTTTGTAAAATTATTTTGATGCACCCAGTATATATGGAGGCACTGTGGAGTATTGAATATCGGTTCGGTTTGAATAATCGTAGAGCAGAATTCCAGTTCAATTACTTACATTGACTTAATAATATGTGCGACTAGGCTGGTTCTAAGAAGTGACCCTTGTGCTTGTAGAGTTAACTCCGACATGCTTTTGCTAAAAAAATATTTTTGTTTGTTATGCAAAACGACTTGAGATTTTTCAAGCAGTCGAATTTAGCACAATAATAATAAATAAAAAAAAAGTCATGTTAAAAAAGTCAGTACAAACCTTTTTCTTCTTCTTGTCGTACATTAGATCTCCACAGTTATGTTCAACAATGTCTGCTCCAAGAATTTCTTCTTCTTCACTAACCCTGAGTCCTACCGTCAGTGTGACCAACTTGAGAAATATGAATGACATCAACAAAGACCACGCAGCTATCGCTACTACAGCAAGCAACTGCACTTTCAACTGTTCACCGCTGCCTCCCTGTAATAAATTTGATATAGTAATAATAATAATAATAATAATAATAATAATAACTCAAAATAATTTTATCCTCTGGAAAGAGTATCAAAAGTATAAAAGAATTATCTGACACAGAGAGAAACAATCGAAAGTGGAAAAACGACAATTCTGAGTGACATGAATAACAGCATTAACAGACAAAAAATAGTTAGAACATCTTAAAGTAACAAACAAGCAATTTTTATTACAAACGAATAACAACGAGTTAATATTATAGTTAATATTATAGTTAATATTATAGTTAATATTATTTTATATTTTCTCGGTATATTCGTGGAATGATGAATATGATATTTTTAAGGTGTTCTCTCTTGGTCTTCTCTTATAAGAAAATCCAGTGTTTTATTTGAAAGTATGGTAAGAGTGTGTACTTCTTTATTGCAGTTAGAATTTAAAAAAGGTGAAGCGAGGGTTTTGCTAGCAATAACATGCAAGTAGAGGAGATAGATGTTGCGGCTTAAGTGAAAATATGACAAACGTTTGTTGTACTCACTTTATTCATCTTATCTTCATAACTGATTTGGCAGATTCACAGTCAAATGCTAACGTTCGATCCTAACAATGGCATGTTTTCCTTTTTTCTTAATCATTTCAAACCAAGCAAGGCGGGAGTGCCACTTGTACACAGGTGGGTTACAGAAAGTGAGGGGAAAAAAACTAGGTAAGGAAAGGTTAAAAGATGAACGGGGTTCAAGACAACAGGAGATGGGGATTGACGTTTCATTTAAACTTTTCAAGATTGAAGTTATCAGAGAAGCAAGTGAGCGGAAGGGAGTTCCACTGTCGGGAAGTGTAAGAAAAGAAACTGTTGGAGTAGAAGTGGTGGTTGCATTTGGTTATTTCAACAGAAAAGGGTGGGACCTAAATGCCAATCTAGTAGCACGGTTAAATTTATGTAGTTGGGAACCAAGGAAAATACATCGTCAGAGCAGTTGCCATGAAAATATTTGTAGAAAAGTCGAGAGGAAACGACATCACGTCTGTGAGATAGTGACTGAAGTCGAAATGCTAAGTCAGGGTCGATTCTTTGGATTTCGTCAAGAACCTCGAGATGAATAGCAAGAGCATCACACCAGATATGGCAGCAGTATTCAATGAACGGACGAATGATAGTTTTGTAAATGTGCAAGATGGACTCTGACGAGAAAAATCTTCTGGCACGACACAATTAACAAACTTTTCTTGCAGTAGATACAGCTATAGATTCAATGTAGTTCCACTTCAAGTCAGTTGAAAACGTGAGTCCAAGAAGGTGCAGTGAGACATTCTCCTGAAGTCGAACATCAGCCATATTGATGGTGGGCAGGGAAGTTTCTCTATGGTAGTTAAATGAAAGCAGTTTAATTTTTCAAGCATTAAAATTCACCAGTCATTACCTGCAGCCAGTTAATCACTGATTGGAGGTCCTTTTTAAGAGCAGCGGCCAGCTTAACTTTGTCAACTCTGCAGATTTGCTATTGATAAATAAGTAAATGATAGTGCCATCTGTATCAATGCCTACTTGGGTACTGATGGCATCAGGAAGATCATTGATGAAGATAAGAAACAGCGTATGACTCAGGATAGAGCCTCGGGGGACACCTTGCGTTCTTGTGAAAGGATCAGGAAGCGAGCCCGTTCAGAACGACCTTCATTTCACGATTTGATAGGAATTATTGGATTAAATCAAACATTGTCCTGTAATACCGTATCCTTGAAGCTTGCGGAGAAGGCCAGCATGTCAAAATCCTGTCAAACGACTTCGAGATATCTAGAGTCACATCTCGAGCTTCGCAGTTATTATCAAGAGGTTGATATACATATTCAGTGATGGCCATAAGGATGTCCTCGGGAGACCAGGCAAAATGGAATCTATATTGTTTGTTAGAGAGTAGGTACTGTTAGGGAAGATGTTTAACCACTTTAGCATTGATTAAAGCCTCGAATACTTTGCAGAAAAGCGGTAGGAGACTAATAGTGTGATACTTAGAGGGGGGGTCAGAAGGTTCTCCAGAGTTCTTAAAAACAAGGACTACAGAGGAGGATTTCCAGCAAGCTGGACAGCAGGAAGCAGTGAGGTAATAGTTGTAGTGGTTTCGTGTGGTCAAATGAGAAAGAGAATTATTTTGTAACTCTAGAATTAGGGTTTGTTTCATAAGGCCTTTTTCGGTTCCGTTTTATACTGGCAAACGAATTTTATCTTATATTAGTTTAAGTTATTTTATTTTTTTATTTATATTTTTTAATTTCACATACCAGCCACAAACCCATGTCTTCCTGGAGTCGGTTTAAACTGGAACATTTCCCTTATGTATTTTAAACTATAATTTTGGAAAGCAAAAATTTCACTGAAATATAGTGGAAATTTTGCAAGTTTTCATTTGCAATCATGGAAATATGCACTTTAAGCAAAATAGTTAAATATATTAAATAAAGCATAAGTTTAAGCTGACGCCAGGAGGATATAAGATAACTTGTTTATCTTAACAAAAGTGATATCTCACAGCATATTAACTTACATTGTTCAGATATATTCTGTACGCTCCTTGAACAAACCAAACTTAATTCGTTTTTACCTTCCGAAATTTAATGATGATGTGTGTTATCAAATAAAAAAATAAATAAACGCCTTAAAAATAAAACTATTTGCTCGGTTTTATTTTCTAATGCTATGTCTCTTCAGGATATAGGTGATCATAGTTCTCCACAGCTTCCTTCTCTGTAACATAAGAAAACTGCATTGTCATGATTGTTCTTCGAAAAGATATTAAACTAGTCTCCTATTGCCTCTTCAAAGGTTTTTAATTCAGTTATCCTTCTCCTAGACTGGTTACCAAGCAAGGCTGGAGAGTCTAATCTCCCCTGATTTTTAACTCATAGATGGGAAGAAAAAGAAGATATATTCATTTTTTTCCAAGAACGAAACTATCTCAGTCTAGATTTGAACTCGGCTCACCGAATCGATTTTACGCTCCGGTAAATATTCGGCAATTCGCACATGCGCGGTCTTGCTGATATTACAAATTACATTCGAATTTGATTTTAATAATTCACTTCTCTTTGTAGATGATAAGAGAGAATAATTTAAATAAAGTATTTAAATAATTTAAAGTAGATCTTTTGCATTTAGAAATTCATAAGAATTTTCGAAACAAAGCTTAGCCAAAATTTCAACATTGGCCATCAAGTGCTATTCTTTTTCTAAACTGTCTTTACCCACTGAAACATTTCCTGTCTCAGACGCTGATTTATTTATAAGAGAGAAAGAGAGTGAAACAACATTTTTTGGTACAAATAAGAAATTTTGAGTCAGACTGATTTTCAATCGTTTTTTTAAATAGCAGACATGTTTTGTTTTTTTTGTTTTTTTTGTTTTTTATTTTCACTTCATTTACCTCTTCTTGTCTCCTGTCACGATGTTCAGAGCAGACAAATTTTTTCCATCGCAAAATTAATTTCTAAATGGCATATATAAAAAAATATATTTAAAAACATTCCCGTAATGAAAAAAGTTCTTAAATCGAACACAGAAATAATTCATGCTATACGTTGTACGTTTTCAATAGCAACCAGTTTCTTGTTTTACTTGAAATGAAATACTAAGAAAACAATACATAAGTTACTGATCATTAAAATTGTTTAGTCTTGTCATTACTTAGGGACTGAATCTTTGTATGTAGAACTGCATTTGTACCTTTTAAATGTAGGCAAAACTCAACTTTTTATTATAGCTGTGATAATAATAATATTAGTCGATTCCTTTTTTGAAACATTCGGCATTCATTGACCGAGCAGGCAATGCTATTTTCGGTTGAAATTTATAAAATCTACCCTTAAAACAATTTAAAAAAAAATAGTTGTCACAAGTTCATTAACTGTTGTCGCTCTTTCTAGTATTGATGGGCGTTTCTTTCCTAACCTTCTATTTTGATGTATTTGAAGTATTTTGAAGTATTTTGATTGTCATTATTTTCTCTTCCAGTAACATGTGTTATCCATCTTAATTGTTTCTGCTGTTGAAAGTCTTCAAGTGAAGTGGATTTTGTTATTTAGTACAGTTCTTTGAGTGTGATTCTGTAGTACCAGTCCACGAGGTTTGAAAAAGTATGTTCATACCATTTTTAGCCCTTGATCTGAGAAAGCGGTTGTATACAGCTGACAGTTTAGATATTTCTGAATGAATTTAGCAGCATGTATGTCATCCATGTGAAAGTTTTGAATTGACGATGCTATTTAAGATTATTACTGTAGATTTAAAGTTGACGTTTTGGTTTTGTAGCAATTTGCGGTGTTGGGCGAAACTAGCCCCGGCATTGCCCATTCTATTTTCAATTTTCTTTAACTCCTATATATATATATATATATATATATATATATATATATATATATATATATATATATATTGATTGATTGATTGATTGATTGATTTAAAATATGGTTTTTGTTTCGAAAAAAAACATATTTTAAATCAATTAATTTATAATATTAATGCTCTGTAAATTTATAATATTAATGCTCTGTAAATTTATATTGAGCACTATTTTGTAAAAATAAAAATATCTATAAGAACACCGGATTATATATCTTACTGTTGCCTTTTAAGCAGCAGGTACAACGTGAAGGGCAAACAAGAATAAATTAGATCATGTGAATACTAGCAAATACAATTTTCGAACCGATAAAGAAATCCTGTTGTTAACTATTTTATATAGAGATTTATGCCTGTAGCCATTTATATTCTTTATCAAATTTATCACTTCCTAACTTTTTTATGAACGAAAACTACGAAAAATAATGCTTTTTTGCTATGCCATTTTTTCTACTGTTTAACTTTTATTTTTCTGTCTGTTCTGTATTTGGTTGTATTTTTAAAATCTTTTACCCCCAAGCACAGAAGATAAAACCACTAAGACGCAAGGGCTTACAGAGTGTGAAAAACAACTGGGAAAACGTCAGGACATTAAAAGAACAGCATTCAAGAAGCGAGATAATGACAATTGACGTTACATTTAATTTTTGAAGAGCGTAGTTGATAGAAAAGCAAACAGCTGGAAGAGAGTTCCACAGACGAGATGTGTGAGTGAATAAACTATTACAATAGAACTTACGTTTACACTAAGCAATTTCAACAGTAAAATGATGAGCCCTAGCTGCCAATCCAGTACTGCGCTTAAATTCATGAAGTCGTAGTACCAAAGAGGAAATGTAATCAGAACAACAATTACTATGAAAATATTGATAAAGTCACAGGACAGCTATGTTACAGCGTCAGGACGAACAGCGGAATCAGTTGGATGCTATATTTACCATACACCGGCGGGAGGTGGCTTCAGGCATATCAGCTTTTGCCGGAACTCAAAACTAAAACTTGGTTTTCTTGATCTCAGTCTATGACAATGCTATTGAGTTTGCTCTTTCATTTGTCTAAAACCATTACTGCCAAAATTTTCAAAATAAATAATAAATGTACATCGTCCTTTTTCAAAATACATTAACTTCTAAAACTTCTATATAAATCTTATATACGCAAAAGCCTATGTGTTAATTTCAGAAAACAAGCCAAAAGCAGAAAAAATGTACATTTAAAAATAAAATCAAAACAAAATATATGTTTACAGTACGATAATAGATCTAAAAATCGTTTTATGAGCAGATCAAATAAAAAATAAAGAATCGGGAATCTTTATAACTGAAGATCAAACTTAGTTCCTACCCACATTTAACATCTGAGCACCGCTGACAATTCATTTTGTCGCGCGGTGTCTTTATACACATAACAATACATTCGTTTATATCTCAATACAGACCAACGTCTCTTCAATAATTAAGAAAATCTCACTTAATATTATTACTTGAAGATTTTACGAATAGCACGATAGCTGAGAAACCTAATGATACGTGATAATCAATTAAATACAAGCATATTTTGATTATCTAATGTCGGACTGTAGGATGTACGATGTGGTGTAATGTATAACAAAAATAATAGACTTCTCACAGTTACTTTCTCATGCATACGCTATGTATCGTACTATACACGCGTCTTTGTTTACAATTGAAAGGCCCACCACCGCCGCCAAGCGGTCAATTTGAGAATTAATACGATTCGTTCCGCTAAGCCCTCAAATTTTGAAATACATCGCTGATGATTTGGAAGTTTCTTTTCCTACAGATTTTGTTTTTATTTATCCTGCAGATTTTTTTTCCGTTGAACCTGAAGTCCGTTGATTGGGGGGGGGGGGTCGTAAATGAAAGGTTTGTCTGTATTCCTTTATATCTCATTACAGACCAACCAATGTCTCTTCAATAGTTCATAAAACCTCAGTTAATATTGTTAATTATACTTGGAGATTTCACAAATAGAATAACTGAAATTAATCCACCAATTCTCCCAGCCATAAATTGAATAGCAGGACAGATTGAGTCCTTGGGTGACAACCAGTCTACCAGGCTAGTCTATCTGCCTAGTCAGCTATGAATCAAAAGAGACGACGTTCGCCCAAGCGTGTATGGCGTACAGCATTAAACTGACTGACTGATTGTCAGAGTAATATCCCCATCTTTGTTGTTTCATAACGTTTCAGTCGTTGTACCCTTCCATCTTTTTCAACTGTGTGCTGATTTAATAAATGTTTCGGTTTGAAATTCATTGAAGGCAACCCGGATCAACAAACACCCGAAAAAGGCCAAAGAGGACAACGGTCGAAACGTTGAAGAAAAAAAAAGATGGGGGGATTCGTTCGGTTGTAAATGATGTAAATAATAATTCTTCGTCTCATAAGTTCAGAAAGAAATGCATAAGCAAGTCTTTTAGTTTTTTTTTTTTCGGCTATCAGCTTTATATTTCTGATTGTTAACGCATATTTGCAAGGATTTTAGAAGTATGAATGTACCTGCTTTGTTTAAAACTGTGAACTTTGTGTTAAACCGGTATTTAGGGATAAAATCACAACAGAGCTCTAACACTAAACTGGACCTGCAAGTGAATACGTTCTCATAAAGGTATTTACTGCGCACAACGCTTTTACTCTGCGCGTTAGTCTTCAATATGTCTGTCATTACCTTTTACACTCAAAATCAGATGTTTTTATTTTTATTTTTTTACATATTCAGGGGTGTTTGTGTGTGTGTGTGTGTGTGTGTGTGTGTGTGTGTGTGTGTGTGTGTGTGTGAGGAGAGAGATATTTCACATACCCAAATTAATCCATCATTAATATTGAATCGATTGTCTTCGTGGATGATGATATCTTGTTGACTGAAAATACCAACAGAAAGGAGACTCCATGCTCCGCTTATTGCATGCACGCTGACACAACCTAAAACAAACAACAATTATACAAATAAAAAAAAAATATGCAATCAAAACCGAATTTTACAAATGAAAAACCAATGGATTTGTCTTTCTTTATTTCATCGTTTCTTTATTTTATCTTTTATTTATTTTTTAATTACTTTATTTATTTTGAGGCGATAACAGAAAAAAAGATACTGAAGTTGTTTTGTGATTCTTTAAGTGTACCAAATTTTTAAACATGCTTTTTATGTTGGGAAGTGATTGACTGTTTGGCTGTTATGTTGTTGGTTTGTTGAAAAACTTTTTAGCTGGTGTGTGATAACAAAGACAATATATAATGGAAAGTAATTTCTAAATAATAGACATAATAGTAACCTATAAGAACGCATAATCACAGCAAAAACATCCTAAGCGTACTTGAAATAAAGTTCTTCAAAAAATTTACTAATTAATCAGTCAGGTTATATCACAAGCAATGACCAAATTTAAAGTCAAAAAAATATTTAAAATTTAATTAAAATATTATTATTGGAATTTAGAATAATCAATCAACAATAAGATTAATCAAACACAGAATGAAATGAGGAGCTGAATGGCTAAAAATAGGACCAATCACTGCCGCTGTAAGAATCACGCGATACTGGCTATATAAGTGCCAAATTTAAAGACCGTCCTCTTTTTTTTCCGTTACGTTACCTCAGGCAGCAAGAAGCAGGCTGCTCCCTTCACCACAATCTCTGATCAGTGGCATCAGGTTACTGTAAAAGAGAGCCAGTTACTTCAAGAGAAATTACGACTTCATAGAAAAGTTAGCCGTGGACTGAAAGGGATCTAGTAATGCTGAGAAGATTTTCGGACGGTTTCCCACCTAAGCTAATTCCGCAGACGCACACTGTCTGCGAGCAATTATTTTTACTTCTCTTTTTCTATTTAGTACAGATTGTTATGTTTGTTTGACTTTAAAACATGTCGCACAGTTCGTTTGAGAGCACGTGGCTTAGCACTAACCCCCCATATACTTGAGGTTGTATCCTGGAGTATCATCGTGATTGTAATCCCCCACATTATAAGAATTTACTTCCAACAACGGTTTCGGTGATTTTTTTTTTGTTGTTGTTTTTGTTTTTTGGGTTTTTTTGTTTGTTTTTGTAAATGTCTTTTAATTTGGTAAAAAAAAGTAGAAATGATGGTTTCCTCTCGAAGACATGGAGAGTCGTGTGTTTTGAGAACTAATCTATCAAAATGGTTCTGCGTGTTTCGAATAGATGGTAAGCAAATAAACGAAAATCTGGAGATAAGAAGGATGTGGATTTCTTTCCTAGTCGAGCTCTAACGAGTTTGATTAATGATACCAGAGATACTATATGTGTGATATCCGTCGGTTTTGAGGGAGCATGGATTTGCACCTCAAAAGTTGTTTTCTTTCCTTCGAGCACGCTTCACTCCGGCGGCAAGCCCACGTTTCTACTCCCCGCATTCTCGTTGGCGACGTCTTCCCACCTGTCGATGTCCATGTCCATCGCCCTCATGTCTCTTTTGCAGGCGTCTCGAAGCGAAGATGATGTCCCCCTCGTGTCCACTTACCGGTGGCCACTTCCCATACAGAAGGACCTTTGGAATGCTCCCATCAGTAGACTGTTGCCTCCCGTGTTTTGCCGCTGAATGTTCTCTCAAGGACGCAGGCCTGGGCAGGATTTTATGAGAGATCAGAGGTTACCCATGCAGCACGTCTACCCTCTCCACGCCACCGATGTTGTCTAAAGGAAATCAGAGATACTAATATTATGACCTTCGAAAAATCGATGCTAATACCAGATATCTTTCACAGAAGTTCTCATGAAAGATTTTTCAACAGACCAGCAAATTTAAATCTCACAAAGCATTTTTCTACCTGCAACATTAGTGTTGCCAAATCCAAATCCACCGCATTAGAATTCAGGATCCCTAAAAATAATTCGAAACAGGATATAAGGAAAAGAACTTAAATTTTTTAACAGCTATATCAAATCACTGCTGATTGGTTCAAAAGTGACTTATTTTCTATAAAATTCACTCAAAAGCAAGTAATCGTTAAACTCAGCAAGATGATCAGTTCGTAGCTTCTTCTAGGTACCGTGTCCCTTCAGGGCATAAAGAATCATGGCCCTCCACAATTTCCTATCCATTCTAGATTCTAACAACATTTGTCTTTTTACTATCCTACACACTCCTTGTCCTGCCATTCGTTCACACAAGCCCGTTACGTAGCTTACTCGCTTTTACTTCTTGTCCATAAGTCCTGTGAATGTCAAATTTTACAAGACTTCTTTCCTCATTATGTGTCTTATAAATTTCAACTGTCTCTTTCTGATTTTAAATTCAAGTGTTCTTTTTGTTTACATTTTTCTTAAAACTTCCTGGTTGCTTACATGCTCCTTCCATGGTATTCTCAGTAGAACCACATCTTTATTGCAACAAGCATCCTCTTCATCTGTGAGGAAACTGACTATCATTCCAATTCATGTAGGAGGATTCATATTATATCGATGTTCAGCACACTTTTCTTTGTTTATAACGATATTTTTCTTTTTCTTAACACTTTGTTTTTTTTAAGGTATCACTTTTTCTAAACCCTTCAAAGAATCTGCTATAATTTCTTACGTTTAAATAATCAATCGAAGAAACATTATGGATGCTTTGGGTGCTTTTAGTAATATTATTGCCTCTTCTAAATGCATAGAATCTTGCATAAAAAGATATGCAGATGACACAGTGTTGCTAGCTGCCACAGAACAAGGAACAAGGAAAGAACGCCTACAGAAGGTAGTGAAGGAAAGCGAGAAGAAAGGACTAAACATCAATTGCAAGAAGACAGAATTTATGCTTGTTAGCAAGGAACAGACCAACATGCAAATTACAAATTGGAGACATCGACATCAAATAGGTGCAAAAATTAGATATCTTTAAAGCGTATTAATAGAGGACGATAAGTGCGACACTGAAATCCGAAGGCGAATTTGGGATAGCGAAAGATGCCTTCCAGAAGCTGAGTAATGTGTCAAGAAATAGAAAAATATCTTTAAAAAAAAGAAAGTACTGAAATGTTATGTTGTATCAGTCTTCCTATATGGTAGTAATTACTAGAGAGAGGAAGAAGTAAGTTGAAGCAACAGAGATGTAAGTTCTACAGAAAGATACTGAGAATACCATGAATCGAACATATGAGCAACGAAATTCTAGAGACAATTTCAACAAAAAAGGACATCAGAAACAGACGATTGAGGTTTCTGGGACACATAATGAGGAAAGAGGACTTGAAAATTTTGATACTCACAGGATTGATTGAAGGAGAGAGAGACAGAGAAAACCAACGCACAACCTACCGGGCGAGCTTGAGTGAGTGGATAACGGGGCAGAGTATGAGAGAAATGGTAGAAAGACAAAAATTAGTGTTTTCACAGTAGCGATGAAACGATGCTCTTTAAGGTGTTAAAAATAACAAGCCATTTGATTCTCATTTGAAATGTTAGAGTTAGGTCTGTGAATCTTTTATAATCTGCGTAAGAGTTTACTAGTGATCTGAGAATGTTCCTTGGTTCAGCCATCCATCACATCGGTTGCAGTCGGGATTATAGTGTCATTATGAACTCCACGATCGTTTCGTGGCCTGTATAGTATATGCTCCAACAGGCTTACATACAGTTTTCAGTTCAGTTTTTCCTTCTCCACTATTAGTTGATGCCTCTGCTTGCCTTGCTATTTCACCGATTGCTGATCCTTGGTAAAATGCAGAAAGAGAGTGGGATCAATGAAACAGCCATGGTAACCATGTATTATTATTTAGGCATTTTAGTAAAGGGAAATATCGTTCGAGCTATCGCTATTAGATATCGGACCTTACTTATAAGAGAATATGATAAATTCGTTTTCGTATAAGAATCTCATTTGTCCTAGAAAAGCATGTCCCTTATTCTCCTGTATAGGGTTATTCAGAATAATGTCTAATATGAGTCGTGTAATAAAAAAAATAATTGTGTCAGGTCACTCTACCTGCTGCATAGATGGGTCATCGACAACTAAACCGGTTCCCCAACTAAGCTTTTCTCATGATGAAGGTGGCTAGACACCCAGCAGGATATAGGGTCAACAGCCATCTACCACATTAGGATAGACTGTTACATATCTATGCATGCATCCAGCATAGTGAGGCTGGGAAGCGGGTGTTTCCTAGACTAGTCAACGGCCAAGGCGGAGGGTTCCCTTAATGAAACCAACGTCCCCGTGTCCGTGTCCGAGTTGGAAGACATTGTCTGTGCCTTGACCTGGAGAGGAATGGATCCCGCCAGGTCTACTAATCCCAGACGCTACGCAACACTTTAACTTTCAAACCCAAGTGAGAGAAGTGTTCAGGTGCTCAGCTGCGCAGCGAACCTACGACCACACCCAGTCATGGGACTGATGGTGATGATTAATAAAATATAAAAGAATTGCATTAACAGAATAAAATTCGCATTTAATCAAAATATAATGACGCTATATTTACAGTGTCTATAAAATTGATTCAGTTATGTTTGTTTCAAAATTTTATAGTAAAATGGCAAAATATTTAATAATTACTTCATCATTTATAAATTCTAAATTGTCCACTATGGAGTGGTGGAGTTTTTGAAGTAACATCCGTCAATGAATTATTTTAAAATTATTTTACCGGAGTCGTAAGCAGGCGTACTGCAGGCGGATTTATTTCCTTGAAAAGAGATTGGTTACTATCATTTAAAATAGCGTTCATGAAATACAACATTTAAAACAAAAGCAGAAAATTATTAGACATTGCACAAAATGAAAAGCAAAAAAAAAAAAACAACATATTTTAAAAAACAAGGCGAATAAATGAAAAAATGGTCGGTTGAACAATTCTCGGCAACCATTTTTTTATACATTCCTTACAAAATTTTGATGCCATACAATCGGTCATGCTTTTGGCACAGACAGATAATCGGAAAATATTCCTGAGAGGCGACTCTCTCGATAACTTTTTAAATCTCTATGAACAGATATTTTAAAATGAAAACTTGAAATTAAAACAAAATAAATGTGGTACCACACTTCTTTTTAGCGAAGATTAACATATACAATAGAACCCGTAAATATTCTCCAGGACAGTTATTCTCTTTTTATTATTATTTAAATTTAAATTATTTCTCTCGCTGTTTACATAATTTAATGCATCATCTTCTTTTTGGTGTCAGGTCCTTTCAGGATGTGGGTGATTATGGCTCTCCACAACTTCCTCACTTTTGCTGCTCAAAGTCATTTTTTTTTGCCTTTTACTATCCATCTGGGTCCATATTCTATCACCCATTCAAACAAATTAAATCGCTGCTTCTTCTGCTTCTTTTTTTCTTAATCATTCACACCCCAAACAGGACGGAAATGCCACGGACGCCGCACTAGTAGGCAGGGGTGGGGTTACAGAGAGTGAAAGTTAGAGAAAAGACTGAGTATAGGGGGGTTAAGGAAAGGACAAAGATGAACGGAAATCAAGAAGATAGAAGATGGCCATTGATGTTGCATTTAAATTTTTGAAGATTGTACTTACTAGGGAAGCAAGCAAACGGAAGGGGGTCACACAGGTGGGAAGTGTGAGAAACGAAATTGTTGCAGTAGAAGTAGCGGTTACATTTAGCTATTTCGACGGTGGGACCTAGATGCCAATCTAGTAGCACGCTTAATGTAGTCGGGCACCAGAGGAAAAGCTCGTCACAGCAGTAGCCATGAAAATATTTGTAGAAAAGACAGAAGGAAGCCACGTCACGTCGGTGAGAAAGTGACTGATGACAGGGCAGGATCGATAACATTACAGAACCTTCTTTGGATTTTGTCAAGAACCTAGAGATGAATAGCAGGAGCACCAGACCAGAAATGGCAACAGTATTCAATACATGGACGAATGTTAGATTCTTTTGTTGTTGTTTTTTTTTTTTTATGAGAACCAGATAGTGTAATGAAAGTATGTGTGATACGCGATGTGACACATAGTTCGGTTGACACGAAGAAGCACTTCCGAAAGGTAAACGAGACACGTCTTGTTACTACATAATTTTTTTTAGAGATAATAACGATTTACTGATAGAAGTCCTACTAATTAACCCAGCTGAAAAAAGCAGAGGTGGGTTCATGCCTTTCTCAAGAGTATTTGAACATAAGTGAATATAATGAACCAGACTGGAATTCGAACTCGGCTCTCCGATTTCCAATTCGGAGCCGTTACACCACAAGCACATGCAAGCTTAAAACACCTGGTATTCCCAAATGTTAACCCATCTATGTACCGACCAGGCTCGATGTTGCTTAACTTCGGTGATCGTACGCGAACCGGTGTTTCAACGTGATATGGTCTTAAGCTGCCGCTGATTTAAAAACATTATTTGTGCTTGAAATGACATATTCTGTTTTGGATATTTCGCATATTTAAAAACAACCAGAATTATTTTTCCTGAATATCGCAATAATTATGAATTAAAGAAGGAATATCGAACTTATTGATTGCTTCATCGATTTGCAGCTTTGCGAGAATTTTTATTCCGAGACGAGTGAACACTGCTCCGACCATTATATATCATTATCTATTATTCTTTGGTCACCTTACAGGCTTTCTACTGGTTTTATCAATAGTTTTGGTTATATATATATATATATATATATATATATATATATATATATATATATATATCAAGTATGTGGTGCTGTTCAATTTACATTACATGAATCAAATTTAAAACAAATATAAATTTAATGATTTAAATTTGCGAAGATGTATCTTCGCCATTTAAATTATTAAAGTATATATCTGTTTTTGTATGAATGATTCATGTAATATATATATATATATATATATATATATATATATATATATATATATATATATGAAAAGAGACAAGAGGAAAAAACTATACATAGCCGACACGTTTCGTCCTCTGAGGGACTTTATCATTGCCTCGCTAAAGTCCCTTTTATTCATTTTCTCTCTTCTACAGATACATCTGAGAATATTTACACACACACACACGCACACACACATATATATATGTAATTTCTATATATATCATTTATATATTATATATGCGCGGTACTTATTGGAAAGCGCTCAATATCAGTAATAGAGCTAACATGTGAGGATCGTAAGAGCATGAAAACCAGGGTCACAAACTCATATCAATACAACTAAGTATATATATATATATATATATATATATATATATATTGCACTTACTGACTGGATCATCGATTTGCAGCTTTGTGAGAACTTCTACTCCGAGACAAGCGAACACTGCTCCGACCATTCCTATCGCCAAACCTTCGGCCGGAGATGCCAGGGCACACAAAGCTACGAAATGTGAATTGCACATATCATTTATGTGATAGTTTAGGTTTAAATAACGATAAAAAAATTTTCGTCGTATAACAAAAATGTATGTTTAGTTTACTCACAATACGAACAAAAAGCGCTCATATTTCAGGAAATTGTTAACAAAGGAAAATTGATATTGTAATTTATATTTTTTTAAGATCAATGAAAAGTTGTTTTATATGCAATAATCAAAGAAAAGTAATGAAAAGAATGAAACAAAAGGAAGTATTAGACTGACTTTTTCTATCTTTGATTAGTTAAGTATGTAATCGTCATAAGTAATTCTACCTCTGTACGAAAGTACACGATTCTTTATAAGCAACATGTTTATAAGCATATGTACTCAAATTAGTGAATACTCATGTTTGAGTATATTTTATGCGAATGCACGGATATAGAATCCATTAATTCTTCAAAAATGTTCATATATATATATATATATATATATATATATATATATATATATATAAATTGACAAAGTCTTAAGCGCTTCTAATACTGACGTCGTTGTGGTTTGAGCAACTCAAACACACATAAAAGAATGAAAAACATAAAATTAAACAGAGCTACTAAATATGTAATTGTGTTATTCAAGAATTTCTACTTGTTTACTTTGATTGAAATGTCTTTTCTTTAATTTATTAGACCCAGGTATGAAAAAATTCAACTACCATTTCAGCAGGTTGAGTACTAACTTGTGCGCCAAAGTTAAGCAATTGGTCAAAAATCTTAAGTTGCATAACGTGAAGTTGCTATATTTGCATACTCATTGCATAAGATGTTTAACAACTGTTACGGAAGGTCGGTATTGACGTTTTCTGAATTTGCTGTAATTGTAAAATTTTATACAATCGTATCTAAAAACAATTTTCTCTTTTTGCTACATGCTACCATCATCACCGATTCATTTACAACTGCAGCATTTTTACAAATTTTCAAATAATATATCAATTTTATTGTTGTTGCAGTTTTTCAATTGGATAAAAATAATAGAAATGATTACTATTAAAAAAAATTCAAAGCAATATTGCACTCCAACAATCTTTATATATATATATATATATATATATATATATATATATATATATTGTTTAGGTCTGAAGATCACGCGTGAAATTCAGTCATTACTCTAAGCATTATTTTTTTTAGTGAATACTCATGTTTGAGTATATTTTATGCGAATGCACAGATATAGAATCCATTAATTCTTAAAAAATGTTCATGTATATATGTATATGTACATATATATGTGTGTATATACAAATATATATATATATATGTGTGTGTGTGTGTGTGTGTGTGGTGTGTATATACAAATATATATATATATATGTGTGTGTGTGTGTAAATTGACAAAGTCTTAAGCGATTCTAATACTGACGTCGGTGTGGTTTGAGCAACACAAGCACACACAAAATAATGAAAAACATAAAATTAAACAGAGCTATCAAATGTGTAATTGTGTTATTTAAGAATTTCTACTTGTTTACTTTGATTGAAGTGTCTTTTTTATGTATTTATTAGACTTTGGGGCACAAGTTAGTACTCAAGTTGCTGAAATGGTAGCTGAAATTTTTCATGCCTGAGACTAATAAATAGTATGTGTAGCTAGTTTGCTAACTAGATTAGATAGATAGATAGATAGATAGATAGATAGATAGATAGATAGATAGATAAATAGGCATCAACACTGCATGATGACTTCAGACACACCGACACATACACACACGCGCGCGCACACACACACACACACACACACATATATATATATATATATATATATATATATATATATATACATTTTTTAAGAATTAATGGATTCTATATCTGTGCATTCGCATAAAATGTACTCAAACATGAATATTTACTAAAAAAAATAATGCTTAAAATAACAAGAAAATGACTGAGCTTCATGCGTGATCTTCAGACCTAAACAATATATATATATATATGTGTGTGTGTGTGTGTGTGTGTGTGTGTGTGTGTGTGTGTGTGTATATATATATATATATATATTTCAGTGAAGGAAAAGTTTGAATGAATTGCAACCTATCCGTGAAAGAAAAATTTTAGATATAAAATGTAAGAATATGAATAAAACAAATAAAATGAATGAAATGATTTCGAAATGTTGGGATACTTAGGCATTCCTTAAAAAAATGCAAAGAACAAATAAATCTCAGTAACGCCATTATCCATTTTGTAAATCGCTAAGCGTGAAATGGCGTTGTAAATGTGCAAATGAAATAAAAGATGTTATTCATCAGAAAGGAAATACTTACCTGTAATAGACACCAGAGAAGCTAGGACACTATTAATTAAATAATCGATATGGAATTTTCGTTTCTTAAGAATATAGCTACAAATAAAAAGGTTAATTATATATTATAGAAACAAATGAAGATATATGTACAAAGATATAACAAAAGTAATTAAACAATTCTATTTTTAAACAAGTGTTTATTTAAGACTCTAACAATTCAAGAATAATTGTTATTATTAAAATTTGACAGCGTTACCATTTGCATATTTTAACGTTTTTACTATTGCAAGCATTGTATTTATAAAATCAAATATTTTCTTTTGTGAAATATTTAGCCAGGATATATTCAAAACGTAAAGAATCAAACAAGTATTTTTACCCAAAATATCTATATTTAATAAGATCCATGTATGGAAAACGAATTGACAACAAAAATGAAAGTAGCTTAATGCTTTTTTAAAAAAAATCTTCTACCGCATAGCATAGAACAACAATCATCATGAAATGCGGGTTGTTTTTTGTTTGTTTGTTTTGTTTTTGTTTCTTTTTGTTTTATTGTGTCAGGGTAAAATAGGCATGAATAAAGACAAAAGGAAAACTTATCTTAACCGACGCATTTCGTCCTCTGAAGGACTTTATCAAGGCAAATGCGAGGATTTTATTTTGAAATAAATATTTATATACAAGAGCAAAAATGTTATTGTTTTTGCAAAAATTGTTAAGTTTAGGAACGCTCATAAATATTCATCAGGTTAGCTAAAAAGTCTTGCAAGTTACGGAGGATACGAAGTGACAAAATTCAATGTCTAATAAACGAAAGGAAGTAAGTGATGTTTCTTTAGAATTTTAATCAAAAATAGTATTTAAATTATTTTAGTTTAGGATTAATTTATGTGTTATATATTTTGAATAACATAAGGTTATGGATTTAACCGTTTTCTTTTAATTTAATTAATAATTCTTTAAAGAATGGCGATCATGGAAAAATACGGGGCACCGATTTATATTTTGATAAGATTCGGTAGCGGCACTTTTGAGAATTTTCCTTCTAAGTTACTTTCTCTTTTAATAAGTGTAGCATTCTTTAGATGAAAGTCATGGCTGAATGTATAACTAATGCATTTGACAAATTGTTGTGCATAAGGTCCCTTTTGTGTTCATAGATATGTTATTCTTTTAATTTATGGAAGTTTCCCCAATGTATTGCGAGGAAGAGGACTGATAATATATATATATATATATACCTGCTTCAGAATTATAATTGTTATGTGTATTTTTGGTTTTGAGTATATCCATAATATTTTGATTTTGTTTAGATTGGATGGATTGTTTAGATAGTGGATGTTATGGCATGTACGTATTAGGTATATATTTTTTTCTGAACTGATATTTCGTATGCATTTTAGTTGCTGATTGTTTTTTCTGTTGAATGCTGACAAGAAATGCCTTTCTTCTGGTTGCTCTGCCATTATAACTCGTGTGAGGTTCGCCACAAAGAACTTTTTGAAATACTAGGTAAGCTTGTTTATTTGGGAAAGATACTGGGAGCAAACTACCTGCACGAAGATAGAAAATGAATTCAGCAAATACACAAAAATAGAAGTAATCCTGAGATAATTAGAAGTCCTATCAGGGTTCATTTTTGGTGGCCACAATCTTAACAGCATTAGATATGCAGATAGCACAGTGTTGATAGCAGACACGGAAAGGAAACTACAAATACTACTACAGAAGGTAGTAAAGGAAAGCGAGAAGAAAGGACTAAACATCAACTGCGTGAATTCAGAATGCATGGTTGTCAACAAAAGAAAAAGCCCAGAATTACAAATTGGAGATACCAAAATTAAACAAGTACAAAAATTTAAATGTCTAGTAAGTGTTTTAACAGAGGGCGGGAAAATACGACAACAAAATCCAAAGGTGTGCAATGGGATAGCAAGATGCCTTCCAAAAATAAGCAAATTATTAAGAAATAGGAAAGTTTCATTAGAAACAAAGAAAAGAGTGCTGGACTATTATGTAATATCGTTAGTCTTATATGGCAGTAAATTCTAGACCATCTTTTCACATATGTAGAAGAGATGTGAAATGTGGTTCTACAGTAGGATGCTGAGAATTCCATGGGCCGAACCTGTGAGCAACGATGAGGTGTTACGGAAGCTGGAAACATAGAATGAGAAGGAGACAGTCGAAATTTCTAGGGCACATTAATGAGGAAAGAAGACTTGGAAAATTTGACACTCACAGGATATATTGAAGGCTAGAGGGACATAGTAAAGCAGCTCATAGCCTACCTAACGAGTTGTGTAAATAGTAGACAGGACCCGGATTAGGAGAGATAGCAAAAATATAAACTTTACTAAGCGCTACAAAGGGCAGGAAATTGTAGAAATTCATGATCGCTCACGATCTAAAGGGATACGGCACGTAGAAGATGATTCTGTCACATGCAGGATTTGTGAAAAATATTAGGTTTGTCAGCACTAACCCCAGTCCAGATTTGGTTTACCATGATAGCCCACGTCCGGAATGGACACGGCACATAAAAGAGAAGTTTTCGTGATCTCAAGTGCTTAGAGCAGCTGTTCAGATGCTTCCTAGAAGAAATAGGGTGCGAATTTTAGCCTCGCTGAGCGATTGTTTGGGTAGCGGCAATGAAAAGCAACTGAAATTACGACGAAAGAAATACTATTACTTGAACTCAGTGGAATCGGGCGAGCAATAACTGAACAAGAACTAGACAATATGCCAAGACATGATCAATGAGACGAGAACAATCTAGCCCCGGAGATTAAATAAAGGGTTCAGTTCAGAATTAGGTTACCCATATCGATATACACCTGGGGAAGGCCGGAGAGCACAACAGCCGAAGCATTGTGATAACAACAACAAAGATGAGGATAAATAGTAGTATAAATAGTGTAAATAATGATAACTCCTCATCCCAGTATTTCTTAATAATATTATATTTTGTTATATCGATACAGGAAGACATAATATCCTTCGTTCGAGAGGAGAAAAAGATCCTACCATACCTTAGAAAAAGACCTGTCATGCCTCCAGAAGTTGAAGCAGTTATTGTAGTGACGGCCGATCTAAAATTAAAAAAAGATATAACAATATTATTTATTATGTAAATGTCAGTTTTAAGGAATAAATGAACATAATTCTGAATTGGCAATGGATTTAATGTTGATCGACTGATTTGTTATCTACTGCTTATCAACCCTTACCGGGTTATTTAAAGCCAGAAAATATTTTTATAGGATAATTATTATTATTATTTTTTGGGATATTAGTTTAACCGACGCGTTTCGTCCAATGACGGACATTTTCAAACAAATGCAAGGATTTTAATTTGCAACAAGTATTTATAAACAAAAATAAAAATGTTTTTCAAAATTTTAGAAACGCTCATAAATATTCATCAGGTTAATTGAAGAGATTTATATTTTATTAAGATTCGATAGCGGCTCCTCACAATACATTGGGAAAACTTGCAGAAACTAAAAATAACGGTTTGGTTTCGTTTCGTTTGGTTTGATTTACGGCATATCAATATCAATAGGTTATTTAATGCCGACAAAATTTTTATTGCTGGTAATATTTTTTTTTTCAAAAATGTATTGATGGTAATAATTTTTTTTACAAAGTATTTCTGATATTAAAACATATTTTTACACATTCATAGTATTTTGACCCTCAGAGGCCTTGCTGTTGGACGTAGTTTATCGTCTTACCCAGGACGCAGATATAGTTTATCGTCATACTCAGGACGGAATACCGTATCTATAAGAACACAAAAAGGATCTTATACAAAATAATTTATTAAATGCATTAGTCATACATAGAAACAAATTCAACAAATTCAACCACAATTTTCATCTAAAGAATGCCACACTTATTAAAAGAGAAAATGACTTAATTATTGGAAAATTCTCGAAATTGCCGCTATCAAATCTTATAGAAATATAAATCTGAGCCCGGATTTTTTTAAATATTTGCGTTCATGAAAAAATTACTTCTTTCCCAAGCCAACATACATGACTATAAAAATGTTAAAAAAATAGAATAAAACGGTTAAATTCACAATCTCCTTTTATTTAAATACATCAATTAATCCCAAACTAAAATAATATAAAAATTAATTTCATTATAAATTAAAAACAAATTCAACATTAACTTCAGACGTTAAATTAGGTTTTCAGTTAGCTTGATGAATGTTTGTTTCTTAATTTCAAAATTTTGAAAAAATAACTTTTTTTACTTTTGATTTTATATATATATATATATATATATGTGTGTGTGTGTGTGTGTGTGTGTGTGTGTGTGTGTGTGTGTGTGTGTGTGTGTGTGTGTGGCCGAGTGGTTCTAATTTCACCATAGTTGATTTGTCAGTAGGAAGACTTCGTGATGTTTTCGGAATAGATCGACATCGATCCTAGCGGTACCTTTGGAAAGGGCCTGAAAACCATACCACGGGTTGACGCAAGCCCTGTGTGTGAAATTAGGTAGACGGAACCTTTGAGGACCGTCGATAGTTATGCTAGCACAAAGCCACAAGTCATCGTGGTTGAGGGCTTGAGCGTGCTGGTCTTGTTCAAATTTTTGATCACGCTAGATAACACGCTCTCTCCCAGAAACGGTAACTAAGGTCTGCTAAGCATAGTTGCAGTATAAACCATAGATGTGCTCTGTGTTGAGCAAACACAAATGTGCCTGAGTGAGCGTCTGCAATAAGGATTGGCTAGCCACCCTAGTAGACAGGTATCCTCGAATGTGAGTGGCCAACTATTATATATATATATATATATATATATATATAATAATTGAAAAATATTTGGTTAAATTCGAAGGATGATTAAATAAGAAATAAATAGGAAGAATAAATTAAATGAATGATATCAATAAGATGCTTCGTTAAATTTATTGTAGCTTCATCAGAATTTTTTCGTGATTTTTTTTTATTTTGTTGTTATTAGGTTATTACCAGTTATACTTTTAGAAGTATTGCTCTTTTTAGCAAAGAAAATATAACCATTGTGAATTTGGACAATATTTGTACAACATCGATCTTGATGTGAAACAACTACTGAAAAAGGAAGGATTGACTGTTATTTGATTTGTTTTTTTTTTTTTTTTTTTTGTTTTTGGGAGGTTTTTTTGTTTTTTTGTTTTTTTTACGACTTATCAACCTTTTGTGGGTTATTTAAAGCCGAAACATATTTTGGTTTGTAAGAATAATTCTTTTTTGAGACTGAATATTGCGTTATTTTTTTTTTTTTAAATAAAAATGTTTTTTTTTTTCCAGATAAGCATCCTACAAATTAACCCATACCTGATGGAGAAGATTAATTCATATCTTTTCCAAGGTTATTAGCAACGTAAGTTAATATACAAAAGAGGATATAATTATTAAACTGCTTAATGAGTTTTCGTTGTTTTGTAATACAACGTATACATAATGGCTGGTTGATCGTTTCTAAGTACACCTCTTCTGCTAAGGTCGCTAACTAATTCCTGTTACAGACGCCTGCTCAAAGCTTTCTCCAACTCATACAACTATGCTAAGCGGAACTTCTTAGCGATAATGCGTAATCTGGCGTGATCAACAGTTTGAGCAATGACAGTATGCTCAAAACCTCAGTTACGGCTTACGAACAGTCGTGTCTGCCTAATTTCACATGGCTTGGGTCAATTTTTCAAACGTGCCACGGTCTGGGATCGTCTCTTCAAGCCGATATAATAAATAAGTTACCGCCTTGACAAATCGATAATACTGAACCCTGATCGGATCTCTAGCGTTATAACCACTCGGCCACGCGCCTAGATTAATGAATATTTTACTTTATTTTACTATTTTGTAAGGAGAGTTTGAGCTGAAGGACAAAGAACAATATAGAAGACTAAACTATTTGGAAACTGATTATCTTGAGATGCTTTTTCAGCTAAGATGCAGCACAAACAACACGTAAACGTTCTGGAAAGGTTTTTTTTTCTTGAACAAGGAAGTCGAGCAGTAATTCTGTTCTTATAACAATACCATTCCTCATAAAGTAAATGTGATGCGTCAGATTTTCAAGGAGCTGATATGAAAAGTCCTTTTAAACACAGTGTATTCTACAGAATTTCCACTTTCAGACAATCATTTGCTTCTCTTCTTGTTACACTTCTTACCAGGTCAGATATTACAACAAATTCAAGATATTGAAAAATCCTCTGTTGAGTTCATCGAATCAAAACCTGAATCGTTCTTTTATGTTGGAAAACACAATTTTATCTGAAACGTAGTTTAAGGTTATAAAAAGCTTGATAAATGCTTTCACGGTTGAATAATGATGCTATGATCTCATAATACTATAAAAATTTTGTTAAAATGCAGAATATTTAAAATAAATTTTGTATGTATTTTCACGTGTGCGTAATCGCAAATATATGTAAAATTCTTTCAGATAATCACCGTGAAAAATATTTTAGAAGTACCGGCAAAAATGTCTTGTTTTCTAGATCGACGTTTTGTTCGAATAAAGTTTAAGAATAAATAACAAATTAATTGTAAAACTTGCAACGAACTTTTATTTTAGAAAAGTAATTTTTTTTTCGAAATTAATGGAAAACACCAATTATTTATTTTCTTTAATAGACAGTAAAGTGATGGTTTGCTGCTTTTCTACTCCAGAAGTTCATCTTGTCAAAGTAAATTCAAGCCAACATGGAATTAAAAAAGATAGACAAGCACCGTGTGATGCTAAGAAAAATGCGAGAATAATAAGAAAAGAACAAGTTTACAAATTAGCATGTACTTGGAGTGAAACAATAAACGGTTTGATCGATTGCTGTGTCTATTCTTTCTGTCTTTACCATCGTTTATTATTTTGTTTCTGAGCGACTTTTCTCTCTATATCTTTCTCACTGTACGCACGCGCGCGCACACACACGCACACGCACACGCGCGCGTGCTTGCGTGCGCACACACACACACACATATATACCTAAGCCTGAAGATACCATAAGGTTGAAACCAAAGTAGCGGGTTCAACTCACCTCCTGATTTTTAAAGTTAAAAGCTCTACATGTTATTTTTTACTTTTATTTTATTTTTTCACACGTGTATTGAGCAATTTTAATACTACTATTTCCTGATCGGATCCAACTCTGACCATTAACCTTTTATATATATATATATATATATATATATATATATATATATATATATATATATGAATGATTGTCTCTAGTTTTAAAAAAATGTCGTCCACGCTGTTTCTGGAAAATAACGTTTATAAGGCAAATTGTCTGTAATCCTTATTCTCGATATCAAGTGATAAAGCATTAATAATAATAAATAAAATTAAATGTTGACTTATCTTGCATTTACTGTGAGTTTTGCATTACATCCATTCTTCAGGCTACCTGATTTTTTTAATTAAGTCCCTTGGAAAATGAATGTAATTTCAGCGAAAGTTAGAGTAGATGCAAGATAAATGAAGATTTAATTTTATTTATTACTGACCTTAGTGAGTTTTGCATTACATCCACTACTCAAGATAAGTGAAGATTAATTTTATTTATTCATATCTATCTATCTATCTATCTATCTATCTATCTATCTATCTATCTATCTCTCTATATATCTATATATATATATATATATATATATATATATATATATATATGAAAAAATTCTCAGAGTTAACCTGTCGAAAAAGACAATATTTATAAATGTAAAAGACAATTGGAAAACTGTAATATTAGCCAAAGCGTTTCGTCTAATGTGGACTTTTTCAAGGCAAAAACGAAATGAATTTATTAAAACAAAGTAACTAATAATAACAAAACAAATTCTTCCAGATGCTAAGGACATTTTGTTTTGTTATTATTAGTTACTAAATTTTGGTGATGATACTCATCCAATTATACATCACCCAATGGATTGGGCACCAAGAGCAACGTCTTCTTTCGCTAAGCCGTTCCCTAGAAGCTGGATCAAACAAGGATTATTGATACAAATTTGGGGAGATTTGAATAATCATCCATAGTAATTCACCGACATTATAAAAAGTCTGTGTGTGCGTGTGTGTACGTTTGCGTATGTGTGTTGCGTGTGCGCGTGTGTACGTTTGCGTATGTGTGTTTGCGTGTGTGGGCTAAAGTTTATGAACAGTTTCTTTTTCATTTCCTCTTCATTCATTTCATGTCCATTCATTTCTTTCTCAATTATTATTACTACTTTGAATTTACTTTGAATATAATTCATTCAGATGAATGCTGTAATCTATCATATACCGTATTCCATATATATATATATATATATATATATATATATATATATATATATATATATATACCCTTACACCGTAGAAACTCTCAAATGTAGCCGTCTCTTCTACTCCAATAGCTTCATACCTCGCACATCTCGCCAGTGGAACACCCTCCCCAGTTACTGCTTCCCTGAAGGCTATAATCTCCAACTATTCAAATGTAATGTCAATCGACATCTCCAGTTACCTTGATCTACCCACTATCCTTCTCCTCATCCTTTCTTCTATCACTCCTATCTGCTCTCGCTCCAAATCTTCCGCAACCCTATGTATCCTAGTGGCTTCACGCCTTGCTTGGGGCATAATGCTTAAAAAATATATATATATATATAACGAAATTTCAACACAATAGACAGCGTTATAAATAGAAAATATAGAATAATAAACTCACCTTGCTGCCAAAATCCATTTTGAACCAGATATTCCGAAGGTACTGCCGCAATTAAAACCGAGCCAACCCCACCTAAAAAATAAATTCATATATATATATATATATATATATATATATATATATATATGTGTGTGTGTGTGTGTGTGTGTGTGTGTTACTGAAAACATCTCAGACGAGCTCACCCACTTCCTCGAAAAAAGAATTTGGCGAAATAACCACATATCAAAATTCTCTTGAAATAATGCATTTTATTTTTAATCCAGTATTATTTCTTATTAATTTAAACGTCATTATTTTAGTGCATAAATGTGTTTGAGTAGACGCATTGTCTTTTTAAAAATGTCAATTACATCCACCGCCCTGTGAACTCGAGAGTTTTAAGATATAGTTCTCCTTGTTATGACTCTTGGTCATATAAAAAAAATTCATTTAGGTTTTATGTTTGTAGTATTGTTTACTAAATTTGGCGTAATATAATCAAATGTCACAAGACTGATATATATTCATGATCATTGAACTCAAATAATACGGCCTGCGAGAGTAGCTTGTTAACTTTCGTTCCAGAGCGAGATGTCCAACAGCTGGCATCACCTCACTAACGCACATGAATTTTCATTTTGACACAAATGAAAAATAAAGAAAAATAACCATTTCGATAAAGGCGTTTTAATATTGATGGCAGAAAAACATAGAAAAAGAAAACCATTTCTCCCTTTTTATTATTAAGAGAATGAGCTCATCAAAAATGGTATGGAATAAAAAGAATAGGTGGGCTGGAAAGAGAAAGATTTATTTTGCATCTGTGGTTTTAAAAGTTCAATCTGAAATTCCTTGTGCGATTTTTTTTGTTGTTTTTGGTCGGATATGATCTTTCTGATTCAATAGAAAATTATCAATTCAAAATTTGCTACTGAAAACTAATTTGAAATACATAGAGACAAAGGATTTTTTAACGCTTATTTAGAAACAAATAAATTAAATTTTCATCGCTATTCTTAGCTTGTTATTTGTATTTCTTTCATCTTAATAAAGAAAAAATTAATATCTTTGCAAATCTTGTTTTATTTACAATCTATTTTTGTCGATTAAACACATTTCAAAAGATAATTTTGTCAGTAATCTGTAATAAAGAGATATCGAATTTCATTGAAAAAAAATATCTGAACAAATCAATAAATACGCCTTAAAATTGTTTTACATATTCTTTTAGTTCTTTTTCTTTTTGTTTCTCAATCATTGCTGACAGTAGTATTATAATAACTATCTCACATCTTGGCTATTTTGGTATGTGAGGTCTTCCTTACTTTGCTCGATTCGGCAGTAGCAGTAACGGAAGTAATCAAGAGGTTACAACTGGAATTCCCAGAACGCATAAAAACACTCACCGAGACCTACTCGGCCTCTTTTCCATTTTTCTATTTCAACGGCCTCTACCTTCAAGTCCAGCCCTTTTTCCATTTTTCCTTTTCAGCGGCCTCTACCTTCAAGTCCAGCCCTTTTTCCACTTTTCCTTTTCAGCGGCCTCTACCTTTACGGCCAGCCCTTTTCCACTTTCCCTTTTCAGCGGCCTCTACCTTTACGGCCAGCCCTTTTCCACTTTTCATCTTCAGCGGTCGCAACCTTCAAGGCTCAGCTCGAAGGGCTACTCAACCCTTGCTGCAGAAGGCAAATGACCTGTCCTGTCAGCTTGACTTCAGATTTCCTCAAAGCAAACAGGCGAAGAAATCTCCCTTCAAGACATCTACCCAAAGGAAAAACTACACACAACCCTTGCTGCAGAAGACACATACTAGTCCTAGCTGTTTCACACTCGGATATTTCGTTCCTTCCGTGGGGACAAACGGAGAAATTTCTCTCTACAAAACATCTTCTCAAGGAAAAAATTATTAACTGGGAAACTCAACAAATTTTCCAGGAAAAATACTTCCATTTTGCACTTTCTTTGAACCACAAATAAAAACAGTTAAACCGATATTTCGAGCCTTGTGTTTGTTCATTCTACTCTGTACTGCTGAGCACACACACGCAACCCGGAAAAATTCCTACAGCCATGGTTACTGCAAGACAGTTCATTTTTGTTCAGCTATCTGAATCTTAGAAGACGTCAGCAATCGACAACCAGAATTTAGCAAAAAAAAAAAAAAAAATATTTTTAACCAACCAGAATGCATAACTTCTAAACCTAGTTTCTGATCATATTCTCTGCGGTATTTAAATAAATATGTATATCCAGTCAATCAGTAATCAGAACCGGCAATAGGCAGACTTTCCTCAGAGACTGAATGACACAGCGAAATATTTCCTTGCACGTTTAACTACACTCAATATGACTTCACATCACAACCTGACTTTTCACCTTAGAAATTTATTCCCGACACCGAACTTTCTTATACCTAGCCACTTCAATATTATAGTATATAGTAAATAAATACCAGTTACTGTTAATTCAAAAATCTCTCTATATTACTTAAAATGCTCTAGAATTATACTTAGTACAGCCTGTCATAAAAACATCGTATCAACCGCCACAAAGAAAACATATTCTTCCTGTATGTACCGTGACCCTCGACAACAATCATGGCTCTCCACAACATCCTCAAATTCGTAGCTCACATTTTGGGCTGTCCTTTTTGCAAACGACCATATATTCTATATTTACACATTTGAATGATATAAATATATCAATTAAATTATTTAGCTAATTTGAAAAGAATAGATGTAGTTCTTTATAATTGCAACACTAAAATTAATCTGACTTTAATAAAATATATATTTGCTAAAGATATTAACCCACAAATAAATTTATATATATTAGGATTAAGTAATTCATCGAGTCTAAAAGAAACCTCAACAGAAGGCAGAAAGAACTAGACACCCGTTTCGTCCCATAGTTAGGACTCATCAGCAGTGCGTATCCACCACCCAGAATTGAAACCCGGGTAGTTACGTTATCAGGCAAACGTCATACCAACTGTTCCAAATCAGACGCAATACAGCGTCACTCGATCACATATTCCGTGGTAGAACTCATCCGAGTTTCTCCTTTTACCCATAGGACTGTGCCTCACCGAGGCCCGTTGGGTAACTGTCCGAGTTTCAATTCTCGGTAGTGGAGGCGCACTGTTTCTACATTCTGTTGAGGTTTCTTCTAGACTCTATGAATTACTTTATAATTATCTCAAATCCTTCTAATTTCTATCACACACACACACACACACACACACACACACACACACACACATATATATATATATATATATATATATATATATATATATATATATTCCAGGGAAAATAATATAGCAATAAATAAAGCAATGGAATTAAAGAGATTGTTATTACCAGAGCATAAACATTCCAAGAATCGCGTTTGTCGGTGATCCAAATGCCGGAGTTTTGTCTTGAGATTGGAATCGGTCTTTCCTTGGTCCCAAAATGAGTATAGCAGCCAGGGATGTCATACCTCCAACAATGTGAACAGGACCTGCTCCGGCCACGTCGATTACACCCATCACAGCCAACCAACCGTTGTCTGCCCACATCCAGTGAGCAGGAAAACAGAAGGTGAATGTGTTTAACAAAGAAAATAAGATGTACGACTCGAATTTTGTCCTTTCCGCCATTGCTCCTGTCTCGATAGAAAAAATATCATGCAGTAAGCAGCGTTAATAACTAAATTGACAACAGGAAACAGTCCAACTATTTAAAATTACAGACACAAGAAAAGGTTAAGTTTAATGTATAATCACAACAATAGCAATCAATAATAATCATGAAAGTATACTGAAGAATATCAATTTACAAAATAACACGAAAAACGCCTTTACTAATGTATATAGATAACTTGTTGAAAAGGTGAAGAGTAAGATTCGAGGAACGTGCCTCCATCGAATTTTGCATTAAATTCGGTAAATCTCCTACGAAAAGATTCGAAATCTTCGGCGAGCTTTTAGCGTATATTTTGTTTAATTTGGATATATATTTTGAATTGCATGCACATTTCAAAGCCGATCGAGTGTCGGTTCAAAATTATAAGTTCAGTGCGACCAATCAACATTAAAACGCAAGAAAATGTGGACAAAATTCATTATCTTCTCTGTGAAGAACATTACCGAAAAACTCCATCATCACTCTTAAATGACAGCTATCAGTTATAGAAACACCAGGTTATCCTAGTCAAGCAGCTTTCTGACATCACCTCATATCAAATGACTGGTTTAAACTTAAATAAAATAGAATATATAAAACCGAAATAAAAAAAAAAGATATGTTTAACGCATTGTTCTCATAATTTACCTGATACAATGGTTGTTGCAGTAGTTGAGAAAGAAGCCGTGAAGAAAAATTTCGAGTACACCCAACCAACATCTGGCGAATGCGAGGTAACGAAAAAGCTACCCCATCCGCAAAATTGATTTGACAGTGGTGCAGAGTCTCCAAAAACTAAGCCATAACCAAACATCCAGAAGGTCAAGCCGCCAAAAATGACATCTACGGCATTTTTTACCATTATATTTACTTCGTTTTTCACTGACACAGATCCGCTTTCCAAGAGGCCGAAACCTACAGCGAATAAATAAGAAAGAAAAGGTTAAAGAATAACGGACAGAAAAATAACAGAAATAATTAAGAAAAGAACGAAGCAAGGTGAAACAACGAATCAATCCAAAATAAAGGTAAGTACTCTTACCTGATTGCATGGTAAATATGATGAATGCACTCGTCAGGATCCAAGTTGCGTCATCATGATTACTGGGATCGAGAAGAATCGTGGTGTTTGCTCTTCTAGAAGCATTTGACATTAATGACTCATTCAAATTCGACTCTACTGTCATTGTTAGCGAGTCTATAATGCAAGAATGTTAATAGAAGTATTACTTCTTTCCAACATATCAAACTGAAGTGATCTGCCAATCTGAAATTAATATTCCAATTGTTTTAAATGTCATTAAACTCGGTGCACGGAAATAAGCATCTCTCTCTCTCTCTCTCTCACACACACACACACACACACACACATATATATATATATATGTATGTATATATATATATGGTTGTGATAAAAAAAGTCAAGACTTCTATGGAATTACCTTTATCAGAAAAGGCAGGAATTATATATATATATATATATATATATATATATATATATATATATATTATAATATTTTAAAAAAAAAGAAGATATTTTGGTATCTGTCTATATTTCTGAGATGAGGTATTATGTACACTATTTACATTATTCGGACTATTGTCCTCATCTTTGTCGCCATATTTATTACAACGTTTCGGCCGTTGTACACTGTGCCGTGTGTCCTCAAGGACACATGGCACAGTGAATAAAGGCATTGGTTAGATCCAGTGACCAGATTCAAAGAGTGTGCGTTCAATACCTGGTTAAGGCAGTGGAGAACTTGGAGAGGGGAATTAACAGGAGATAACTGATAACTGACATCCATTAAAGATGGCACGTGGAACTAGAACAGTGGGCTAAATAAAGGGTTCAGTTCGACATCCCAATCACCTGAAGAAGTCCTTAGTCCTGTTTCATTTTCAAGATATCACAATGGAATCACTAGTCCTGTTTCATTTTCAATGACATCACAGTGGGATCACTAGCCTCAGCTGAGTCTTCTGACCTTATAGGCCTTTTTAATTAGAGGAAATGTGAAATTAATATAACTGACATTGGATTATACAGAGACGATGGACTTATAAAGAATTCTACAAACTTTAAAATCGAAAGATATTATATGGAGAATTTAAATGCCTGAACTTAAAAATTACTGTAAACACTAAATTGAAAAAGGTGAACTTTATTGATATAACATTAGATTTAGTGAAAAATGTATACATACCTTATAAAAAACCCAATACTAATCCTTTGTATGTACGCCCTAAATCTAATCTTCCTCCATCTATAATTAGGCATATAACTTTATCGAAAAGAGAATAAATAGAAATTCAGCAAATGAGAAGATTTTCTATGAACATATTCATTTCTATAATAAAGTTCTAAAAGATAGTGGCTACAAAAGCCCAAAACTAACTTACATAAAAAATGAAAATGGAAAATATAGAAAAAACAGAAGTAGAAAAATAATTTGGTATACACCCTTATACAACCAAATGGTAAAGAACAAATTAGGACAAATTTCCTTGCATTAATCGTTAAACATTTTCCTAAATATAATAAATTCAGTCTATTTTCAATAAAAAAAATACCCTAAAATTAAGCAACAGCTGTACTGAAAACTTAGAAAAAATTATTAAGAAACATAATGGTAATATATTGAATAAACACAAGATCAAAGAAATTTAGAGAGTATAATAATAAAAAGAGATGAAGATAAAGAAAAGTTATGTAACTGCAGAAATCCTCATAACTGTGCTCTTAATAATAAATGTCGAACTGAATCATTAGTGTACCAATGCAATATCTCATTTACTGAGGATCCAGACTACGTAAAAGTCTACATTGGATGCACAAGACATGAGTTCAAGAAGCGATTCAACCAACATCAAAGTTCTTTTAGAATAAATAAATACCGAAATCAGACGTCCCCATCAAAATATTTCTGGCACTTAAAAGAAACCAATAAAACACCTACTGTGAAATGGAAGTTAATAAGAAAAGCTAGAATATGTAGGCCATTTGTGCATGCACGAGAAACTATATATTACTAGATTTATAAAAATAAAAATTTACTGAATCAAAGAAATGAAATAGCCCTTCTTTGCCGACATTGTCAAAAAATTTCCCTAAATAATGTTTAAAAAAAAAAACTGATGAATAAAATATAAATATTAATATTTGATATTTAATAATAATTTTTAAACAATTTAAGTAATTCTATTACATTTATTTGTTTTAAGAGAACTATAATTTATTAGTAATTAAAATTAAGAATATTTTAAAATTGTAGTTCAATACGATGTATTCATATACAAACAATCCTTTTAGAAAAAAATTTATGTATACAAGTACAAATTTAACGGCGAAACAAAAGTGTCGAAAACCCCTTTTTGTCGTTGATAAAGACCAGACGACATGCATTGAACGGATGTCACCATTCGTCGAAAAGACACCTCTACACTACCTTAACTTAATCTCTTTTCGAAAGTAACTCATATTTTGACACAATAGTTATCAGTGAAAATGAATACCCTACTATACACTTGTTAAAATGATTGGATTTCCCGGTATCGTTAGAAACTAATATTATGAGTGTATGTGCTTATAAAATTCAGTAAAGTTCAAAATAAATTATTCCAAAATTCGCTTGAAAATGAAACAGGACTAGGGATTTAAATTAAATTTGAGGGTTTTAGCTTCTATTTTTGAAACATGGTAATTCCTGTGTAGCGATGGAACCAAATTTTTTAATTATTAAATTTATAATACATATATATACATA